GAAGATCATCCACATTATTTGAAAGACAAAAAGATTTGAATGAAGGGACTGATGTATCATGTGCCTGAAGGAAGACTTAGTATCCATCCGATCTATTCTCAATTAACATAAAATTTAATATAATCAAAGAAAAAGAATAAGGCCAAAAGTTATGATTATAATAACTTGTTTAGAAAACACTAGACAAACATGCTCAAAGTGAAGCCAGGTGATCATTCTTCATCACACTTGCAAGGTTTCATAGAGTACCTTTGGTGAATACCATTTTCTAAGAGTCTTCCTCCCTCAAAGTCTGGCTGGGCACAGTGCTCACACCTGTAATCCTAGCTCTTTGGAGGCCGACCAGCGGATCACTCAATGGTCAGGAGTTTGAAACTCTGAGCAAGAGCAAGACCCGTCGCTACTGAAAAATAGAAAGAATTAATGGCACAAATTAATAAAAAAAGTAGCCAAGCTGTGGCTATGACAGTCCTGAACAAGAAGGGTTTCCTGTTTAAGCTGCAGTAACTTTTCTGACTATGGATCATCGTTCCTTCTGTGGCAGATTTTTACAGTTCCTCTAATGCATTTGGGACGACTGTCTCAAAGTAACCTGCAGCTTTCCTGACAACTCCTCGCTCTCTCTCCTGCTAAGAACTGTAGCCTGTTGAATAATACAGGATAAAAAAATTATTACACTCAGTGAACATTTCCACATTTTTTTTATCATCATGATAAAAATTTAAAGATACCTACCCTTTTCTGCTGTTTTTAGAACCTTCTGCTACCATATCCACCACTTCCACCACCAGATCCATAACCACCTAAAAATATACACAATATTTTTAAAGTATATAGAAATTTTTTAAGTTAAAACATTCTAAAGAATTTCAGTTAAAAAAAAAAGTTATTTACCACCATATGGACTGCCCGAGCTTCTTCCACCAAAACTGCCCCCTTTCATGGGTCCATAATTTGATTGCTGTTGTCCACTATAATTTCCAAAATCATTATAGTTCCCACCACCACCATAGTTACCGCATGGCCTTTTGGTCATTGTTTGTTTTCCTTTCATTTCTTCCTCTCCTACCTATGCCTTAGGTCTGCTGGGGGCATCTGGGTTAGTGGTGGGGAAGGAGTTGGGTAGGTATAAAATTTTTTTTAAAAGGGTTGCATATTAGTGTGGTAGAGCATGCTACTATGATTGTTGAAAGATAATAAGTTTAACATGTTAAAAGAGGAAAATAATTATTGTATAGGTAAACCGCAAAATGTCTGTGATTCAGGT